TGGCGCTGCCACCACGGGGAAGGAATTAATTTTCGGGGCGCTTTTTCAGGGCGGCAGCGCGGCCGGCGGGACGTCCGGGTCTGTGGGGATGGGGATGTGCGCGCGCCCGTCGCCTCGGCGTGAGGTGAGGCATGGGAGCCTCCTGTGCCCTTTCGTGTTCCCTCCCTTCCCCGGGTGGCTCAGGGCTGCAGTTGAATGCTTTTGGCTGGGCCTGGAGCTGTGGTAGCCGGTGACCCTCCCCTTGGCAAGGCCTCCCCGTGCCTGCTTGAAGCAATGTCCGGAGCGCTGGGGTGGGCTGGCACGTACTGGGCTCCTGCTGCCCCATAACCTTGGGTGTTACCCAAGAGTGGCAGCTCGGGGAGGTGAAAGCAGGGGAGAGCTTGGCCCTGGCTGGGGAGCTGGGTTTCCTGGGGAGCTGCAGCCGGCTGCCAGGCTCGTTTGGGGAGTGTGGAGTGGCCATCAGCTTGCAGAGCAACCCCTTCTCGCTAGCTCAGTCTCAGGTGGTGGTTGTGGCACGTTGGGACCAATGGCAGCTTCCCCAGGGCTGGGAGATCTGGTGCAGACCGTGGGGAGGTCCAGCTTTGGCACCATCACCTCTCCGGCACTGTCCCTGCCTGGTTCGGCTGAAGAAGAAGAGGCAGATTGACAAACTCCGGCTTCCTGGGAGAAGAAGCATTGGGCTGAATTGTTTGGTGGTGCAACTTCTCCGAAGCCGGCAGGGTTGGGAGGAGGGACCAGCTTGAGCCTGTTTGGCTGAGCCGTTCCCCTGAGTCAGCTCTCCGGCACTCCGCCTTGGGAAGGAGATAAACTGGTTGGGATGCCGCATCAGTGGAGCGAGGTTAGGAGGCGGCGGGGAGCGGGGGGGAAGCTTCTTTCTAGCATGAGGTGATCTGGGTGAAACTCTGTTCATCCTCGTCTTCGGTAGCTGAGGCTGGGCAGAGGGAAGGCTCTGCAGCAGGAGGGAGCAGAAAGAGCTGGGTAAGAGAGGAGCCCCCGGCATCTCAGAGAGGATGGAGTCTTGGAGAGGGTCAAGTCTCGGAGAGGATCTAGCGCTGGTTATGACTGATTTCATCTTTACCCTGGGGCACATCATTTAAAGGCAACGTGTTTTCACAGCTGTTGAATTGCCTCCTGTGCATTTGCAGTGAGGCCTCTTCCGCAGAGAGCTACTCATGTCTTTAATAAATGATCGGTGGTGAGGTTACCGGAGGGACGTAGCTCTGGGGCACGGGCGGCCAGGGTTTGGACAAGGCACGTCTGGTTCTTTGTGACTTTGCCTCAGTCTCCAAGGCAAGCCTCGTCGGTGGTGGTGGAGCACTCCCTTCTGCCTGCTTTCCTCGTCCCTGCCTCCCCCTCTCTGAATAAATACCTCCGAGGCACCTTGTGGAAACCTCCCTGCTGCATATTTTCCTGTAATTTTTTTTAAACCTCTTTCCTTATCTCCTGCTTCCTCTTACAGGAACGACTGCCTGCTGCTGAGATCTAAATCCAGTCCTCCTCCGCCACTGGGTCCTACACCCCCATGAGTTTCCTAAAAGCGATGCCAGGCTATTAATGCTGTTGTTCTGCCTCGCCTTCCACCCCCCTGTCATGAAAAGCCCTGTTGTGGGTCTCTCCCAGACAGTAACCCTCTGTTTTGTCCTTTCCTCTCCAGCCAGATCTCCTCAATTTCAAGAAGGGATGGATGTCCATCCTGGACGAGCCAGGAGAGGTAAGCCCAAGGCGGGGGTCTTCCTCTTCCCCCAGCCCCTGCTGCTAGAGCAGGCGATTTCCTTCCCCCTCGCTCGCTGAGGTTGCTCCTGCTGGGAAAGACAGCGAGAAGCCTTTGGTGGAGGTGCCTCACCTTGTGTGCAGGCACGGAGGTTCTCCCAGCCGAGGGGTGCGAGGGGGAGCTGGGGGGGACGTGGAGGAGGGGGAAGAGAAGGCCGAGAGGTCATGGCGCAGAGCGTCCCTCCCTGTTCCTCCGCTTCCCCCAGTAACTGCCTATCCGTTTCCCTCCTGTCTTTTCCCTTCCCTCCCCCTGCCCGCTCCCCCGGCAGTGGAAGAAGCATTGGTTCGTGCTGACCGACTCGAGCCTGAGGTATTACCGGGACTCGAATGCGGAGGAGGTAAGCACAGCCAGCCTTTCTCCAGCCCTCCCTTCCTGACCAGGGGGGCAAGGAGCGCAGCCCTGGGGTGACCGGTGTGCTCCGGGGAGAAGCGGCAGCGTTCTGACGGGTGCCAGAGGTGGCGAGATGTTGCCCTGATGTCCTGGCGGGTGGCTGTGCTTGCAGGCCGATGACCTCGATGGAGAAATTGACCTCCGCTCCTGCACGGACGTGACGGAATTTGCGGTGCAGCGCAACTACGGCTTCCAGATACACGTGAGTGTCCGGCACGGCGTGGACATGGAGCAGCGGCGCTGAGGGACGCTGGGTGGGAATGCCTGCTCCCTCCCTGCGCCGAGATGCCGAGCTGCAAGCTGTGAAAACCTTGTGCCGGGGTGGTGGCCCGGCGGGGCTTGTTGATGACATGTGGGCCGCAGTGCTGAGGGACAGGAGTGCAGTCTGCCTGCAAAGGAAGGAGGAGCAGGAGGTGGCTTTGCAGGGCTGGCCGAAGGCTGTGCTGGAAGCGGCCCAAGAGCCAAGCTAAACACCAGGAGTGTTGACATGACCCGTTGGCCAAGGCAGCTTCTCTAGAGCTGTAGAGAGGGAGTGGTGAGTGAGCACAGCAGATCTCAGCGTAGCCTGGCTGACCGTGCTCTGAGTAACAACCTGTATCTTGGATCTGGCCCCAGTACCATCCTGTCCTCAGCTGCTTGCTGTAGCAGCAGAAGATGGCTGCCAAGGCAGTGCAAAACCCAGTGGATGTGCAGGGTTGGGCGCTTCGTGGTCTGGGTTCCCCTGCTGTACTCCAGCACCGGTGCCCAGCTCCCAGCACCTGAAGGACCGGATGACACCAGCTCACATTTGGCCAAACGTGCTGGCAAAGTTTCTTTTGCCTTTGCTTGGAGATGGTCTTGCAGGAGACCTGTACGTGGGCTTTCCCACAAAGAGTGTGTCTCGACTCCCACCCCTCCACCTGACCCCACGAGCACGGGCGTCTCCGAGACAGCGCTGGTCTCTCGGCACTGTACGCTATCCATGCAAGTGGGTGCCCAGGGGTCTCGGGGAGTGAGAGGGAGCTGCTGGCACCTTTGCCAGGCGCTGACAGAGCCTCCGTCGCCTCCCCGTTGCAGACGAAGGATGCTGTCTTCACCCTGTCGGCGATGACCTCGGGCATCCGGCGCAACTGGATCGAGGCCCTGAGGAAGAACGTGCGCCCGGTCAGCGCTCCGGACGTCACCAAGTGAGAGCCGCCCTGCGCCGCTTCTTCTCTTCCCCGTCTTGCTGCCCCTCTCCGCTAGCAGGCAGGGACCAGGAATGTGCCTCTGGAAATCCGGCCGCTCCTGGAGCAGCGCTGCCCGCACAGAAGTCCCCCTGCTCTCTGCTCCTCCTGAACATGGCCAGGAGACACCGGCCGGTGGCAGAGGTTGAAAGCCTGATGGCTCCTAGTCTTGCACGCACTTTTTGCCTCGCCAAGTTACTTTAGCCCAGTTTCCCTGCCGGTATAGCTGGAACTGAGGGAAAATCCACCCCACGGGGGAGCCCGTTTCCGTGAGGGATGGGATGCTACGGGCCTGGCTCTGCACACACTGTGGGGTTTTATAAGGCTGGGCTGAGCCTTGGGCAGCTGGCAGATGCTTCCGCCAGCATCCTTGCCCACATGGTCCCTCTCCTTCACCAGCTGCCATTCTGCTTTCAGGCTCTCCGACTGCGATAAGGAGAACTCTTTCCATAACTGCATCTCCCAGAAGGGCTTGCTCCGGACAGAGGAGCAGCAGCGACCAGGCTCGGGATCCGACGGGAACTTGAAGGGCAGTCACTGGAAGGCAGACGGGCAGCGCCATGCCTTTGACTACGTGGAGCTGTCTCCCTTGCCACGGGACCCCGGGAATCAGGGGTGCCCGCAGAAGACGAGAGGGAGCGTGAGGATCTCTGACCAAACTCACAAGCATGAGGAGCTGGAGCGGGATCTGGCCGTCCGTTCGGAGGAGAGGCGGAAATGGTTTGAGACCCCCGACGGCAGGGTCCCAAATAGCGATGGCCTGGCGGGGGACTCTTCCTGCAAGGTGGGGGAGAAGGACCTCCCCGCTCCCCCGCTTTCGGAGGACCAGCGGATTCGGCTGAATGAGGAGATAGAGAAGAAGTGGCTGGAGCTGGAACGTCTGCCCTTGAAGGACTCGCGGCGGGTGCCCTTGACCACGAACCAGAGCAAGGGGAGCCATGCAGACACCAATGAGGAACTGAAAAAAGAGGTAAGAGCGTCCCTCCTCTCTAAAACTGCGATTCCGGTGGCCCCTCAGCGTGTTCCCTGGCAGCAGGAGGCTCTGCAGAAGAGCAAGGCAGAGGTGCAGGGAGCTGTTCATCCTTTCTGGCTCTATTTGCCACCCCTCGAGTGCAGGAGAGCTGTTGCAACTGAGTAATGCAAGGCTGGACACCTGCTCTCATGTGCCTGGAGAGGTTCCCCAGGCCACGTTTCAATCCAGGACAAGTTAGCTGGTGGCACTGCTTGCTTGGAGTCTGTGTTTTTGGGGAGTACATCCTCAGCCTCTCTTCTCTGGCTGTTCCCAAGCCTACAAGCGCTTCACCTGCCAGCCTTTGAAAGGAGCCGTGTGCTTGTCTGTCGACCCAGCTACGGTTGCAGCGGTGGTTTCCTCCAGCACGAATCCACCTCTGGAAGTTGGGACCTCTCCTCCCCTCCTTGCTAACGCTTACCGGGCTGGGGCTGGCTTTGCTGGTTTGGTCCCGTGGCAGGCTGCCGTTCCTGTGGGAAGCAGACATCTCCATTGGCCCTGTGTGGTCTTCCCTGCCCCTAAGCCTGGGGTTGTTGGATGTGGCACGTTGGTTGGGTCATGGCACTTTCCCACCCCTGACTGAGCATCTCTCTCCCTCCCTGGCGCAGGTGCAGTTGCTGCGGGCGCAGCTGGAGTCCTGCCTGGCCAGAAACGAGAGCCTTCGGGAGGCGGCGAAATCCCAGGGAGACGGCCACGTGCCCCGGGGGTACATCTCGCAGGTGAGTGGGGCACCGGATGCGGGATCCTGGGGCCGCTTCCAGTCCCAAACTGGGAAATGCTGGGACTGGCTCATTGCTGAGCAGGTGTTGCTAATCATTGGGTTGCCGTGGTGACCCTAACTGGGCCCGCTCATGATCAATGTTAATTACATAAAGGCTGTTGCACGGCCTTAAAGAGGCCAGAGTATAAACAAGAGGAGGAGAGTTAGGGGAGAGGTGCAGGATCTGTGCCCTGCTCTGTGTGTGGGCACAAGGCTGGGCTGGGCTGGGTGGGCAAGCGAGTGAGCCACCCCCCGAGCTTTCTGCCAAGTCACCCGCGCGTTCCCCGGCGGTTTGCAGCTCACCACGTGTGGTTCTTGCTAACGGGGGCTCCCAAATCTCTTGTTAAAAGCAGTCCATCGGGCCCTGGGGAGCTCCTGTCCCTGCCAGAGCTGCCTGAGCCCTGAAGGTCACTTTGACAGCACAGCCTGTTCATTTGCTGGGAAGACACGTGGGAAAGCCCTCAAAGCAGGGTTTGCGTAGGCTTCAGCCTCTCGCTTCTCCTTGTTTATTTGTTTTCCTCATCATGGACTCATCTAAAGCAAGCAGGGTCACATCCCACAGAGATTTCCTGGGGGGAGGCTGCCGTTCCACCACGCTGTGGGGGTTTCAGGATGTGCCCTACGTGTTGAAAAATACCGCGGGGGGAAGGACATTGGGGCTGTCGAAGCCTTTTGCAGTGGTTTGGCTGTACCTAGCACAGATAAAGAAATCCACAAGTCCCATGGCACGTAGCCCAGCCACTTACCGGTTGCTCTGTCATCTTGATTTAATATTTACAGCTCACAGGCCTCTTTATGGTCAAAAAAAGCAGGAGTGGGGAGGAATGGCACCTTATCTTACTAATAACTTGGCTCAAAAGACCAGCGTTTCACATCTGAGGCCAAACTTGGCCTTTCCCCAAAGGGCTCGTTCTCTCTAAGTCTGCCGAGGTTCGCAGCCACAGTCTGTGGACAGATCACCAAATTGATTCCTCGCCTTTTCTTCTCCTTTGGTCGATCTGCGAAGCTTCCCAGCTTCCCTCGTCTCCGCAGGGAGGAGTAGCCAGCGAGGATTTGCATTCCCACAGCGTGTTGCAATGCCCTTTATATCAGCCTTTGCCTTAGAACTGGGGGAAGGAATGGGACGGCAAGGGGCTGTTGAGGGACAGGATGGCTTCCTGGCTCTCTGCTGATGTCTTAGAGGCGTTGACTTTTTAAAATAATACTCTGGCATGGTTTGGTGGTGAGCAAATCATTCTGAGGGGCTTGGGGCGATGCTGCGGGCATCTGGAGGCAGAACGGAGGCGTAGCTCTGAGGCGGGGACCGGTTTGCTTTGCTGTAACACCAGTTAACCACAGTGCTCAGCACTGAAAGAACCATCCCCTCGGTCTCAGAGCCGTCAGAAAGGAGCGCGAGCTGTGTGAGGAGGATCCCTAACCATTAGGCCCTGGGGAGGGCTCTTTGGCAGCCTCCGTCAGGCCGCAGGGCAGTGCATGGTGTCACTTTTCAGGAGAAGAGGCTCAGTTTTCCTTGATGCCAGGGGATGCTGCTTCATTTGAAAGGCAGATAGCGAGACGCGGTTCCCGCTGTTGATCTCCTCCAGCCAGGCAGTGCAGCCTGGTGGTGTGTCTGGACTGGGGTGTCGGGCACATTAGTCCCAACTCTCTGCCCAAGAGGAGTGTTCCTGTCTTGCTCCTTCAGTTTTAAGAAGACCAAGAGGAACATTTCTTCCTCTGCAAAGCACAAGGGGGTTGCAAGATGTGTGGCCCTGTGGAATGGTTGTGTTCGGTGATAAAAGTGCCACCTTGGTTTCAGAAGGAAAAGACCCTCTAGGGTTTCTAGTGGTCTCACTTCTCTCAAAACGGCCTTGGACTTTGGTGAGGTTTGCGAAGGCAGATGTCAGCCCAGCCTGGTGCCTGTCCTGCCTTGAGCCCTTCCTCCTGCCCTCCTGGTCCCTCACCCCTCCTTTCCCCGGCACGGCAGGAGGCCTGCGAGCGCAGCCTGGCCGAGATGGAGTCGTCCCACCAGCAAGTGATGGAGGAGCTCCAGAGACACCACCAGCGGGAGCTGGAGCGGCTGCGGGCCGGGGAAGGGAGGCGGCAGCGACAGCAGCAGGTAGGGGTGGACACCAGGCTGTGCCCCCTGCTCAGGTAGGTCCCTCTCGCCTCCCCCAGATGTCTCTTGGGAGAAACCAATCATCCCAGTCATCTGCGGCCACACTGCTGTCCCTACTGGTGTGATGCTGGTGCTTCTGGTAGGCAGGCAGGAATGGCAGAGATGGCAGGGAGCTCCCACGCTGCCCTGTGTTCGTCTCCTTGGCAGCGCTTGGTGCCTTGGGATGGTCCTGGGGTGTGGAGAAGGTGGGGGGTGCCCCGAGGGTGGAGGGGATGGAGGGGGATCCTGCAAAGAGAGGTCTGGGAGCCTGCAGCAGCAAGAGCTTGGCTGCTTGCCTGGCTTTTTTTCCCCCAGATGTGCTGGAGCTGGCACAGCCTGATCCCTCATCTCCCATTGTCCCCCTCTGCAGCCATCGAGGCGCTGAAGAAAGCCCACCGGGAGGAGATGAACAAGGAGTTGGGCAGAACGCGAAGCTTCCAGCAGTGCGGCTCAGTCCCAGATGCCCTCCAGAAGCAGCACCAGTGAGAAACCGCTTCCCCCACTCCCCTGCCTGATGCTTCTGCCCTGTGCCGGTGTTACCACACCAGATATGTGGCCGAAACCCCCAGCTGTCCCCCCTGCTGACTCCCCAGCTCCCTCCCTGGGGGCAGTGGGCGCCCAGCAGTGACTGCCAGGGCTGCTGGAGCTGCAGGGCAGAGAGGTTTATCCTCTGCTTGGCTGTTTTCCCTGTAGCACCTCCATTTTCCTTACAGCTTCTTCCCTCTATTTTCTTTACGGAAAGCCCCTCCATTTATCCTTGCATGCCTTGACGCTCCTCGAAGCACCACGCTTGTGTGTGGCATGGTGGGAATTGAAGCCTTTGTCCACAGGGGACATTGTTTTGTGCCAATGGCTGCTGTGGGCAGAGGCTGTCCGTGGCAGGGGGGAAGATGATGCCGGTGGCCAGAGACTGGTGCGGGTTGTGGGGCAGCAACGAGCTGGTGCCTCTTCGACAGGTTGGATGTGGATTCCCTGAAGCGGGAGCTGCAGGTGCTTTCTGAACAGTACTCCCAAAAGTGCCTGGAAATCGGGGAGCTCACCCAGAAGGCAGAGGAGCGGGAGCAGACGCTGCTGCGCTGTCAGCAGGAGGGGAAGGAGCTCCTCCGGAAAAACCAGGCAAGAGAATGGCTTTCCCTGCCAGCAGAGACCACAGCGCACGTTCCTCCCTCGCACAGCACTGTGTTAAAACTCACCAGTTTGTTCATATTTCTTCCCTTCTGGGATTTTATCGTCAGAAAGAAACAAAATTAAGAGTTAGAGGCTGTAGGTGCGCCTGTCTTAACTACGGTGTTAAATATGGCAAGTGTAGTCGTTTCTGCTGGTTGTAGGTGCTGCCGTTGCCTACGGGCAGGGGGTTACAAGGAGGTCTCTAAGCTGGGGCAGGGCTGGCATGAAGATGGAGATCAGGATTGCAGAGGCCTGTGCGGTGGCTGCTCTGACGTCTTTTGGTTTTCCCTGCAGGAGCTGCAGACCCGCCTCTCGGATGAGGTCG